GACACTTGGGTCTAAGGATTGGGTAAGTCGGCCTAGGTCGGAAAATTTTAAAAATGCTCAAAAAATAAAGGAATTTTCTCCGAATTCTGCCGACTTGAAACTCTTAAAATTGCTTACAACAGACATTGGTCGCCATAAATTTGAATACAAAGCCCATTCTTGTAAATTATTTTGATGTTTACTGTCGGTCGCTAAAAAAAAGCAGCTCGCTAACTGCGGCTAAAGATAGACAACACCGCAGTCCGTCCCTGAAAAGACATGCCCAGTGGGCTGATCGGATCATTAATTCACAGCGTGAAGATTCACGCGTTTCCACCACAGATTCACTGCTAAAAATAAATTGTTACATCATGCAAGACTGATTTCTTCGCCCGAATATTGTTTTGATAGGCTATCGAATCGTAGGTGAAAACGACCTCGTAAAACGATTGTCACTTTCGTCTGTTCACACACTAGGCCTAGGGAATCCCCGGGTATAATGGCAGGGACGTATCCAGGGGGAAGCCGTGGGAGCAGTATTTGTGTCAATAACTTCTGCCACCCTCAGGTCCGAATATCAGATGCTGTATACATATATCCATTATTTTCCAAAACATCATAGACCACCCAAGGACCATCACATTATGTCCCACTCCCAATGTCACTCCATCACATGCTGTATATGTGTCAAATTTTCCCCACCCCAGGTCCGAATATCAGATGCTGTACATTTATGGCAATTATTTTCCCAAATATAATGTGATAGACGGTCAGTCCATCACAGGCTGTAAATTTATGTGTCCATAATTTTAAGGTTCTCCCCCACCTGGGACTGTCCATCAAATGCTGTATTTTCTGACCATTATTTTCTCAAACATCATTTGATGAAGCTCTCTTCCCCCTCCCCCTCAACAACTAATGTTTTGATGAATTAATCTCCCCCACCCACCCTCAGGTTCGTCCGTCCGTCTATCACATGCCTCCATCACATGCTGTATATATGTATAGACACAAAGCCCATTCTTGTAAATTATTTTGATGTTTACTGTCGGTCGCTAAAAAAAAAGCAGCTCGCTAACTGCGGCTAAAGATAGACAACACCGCGGTCCGTCCCTGAAAAGACATGCCCAGTGGGCTGATCGGATCGTTAATTCACAGCGTGAAGATTCACGCGTTTCCACCACAGATTCACTGCTAAAAATAAATTGTTACATCATGCAAGACTGATTTCTTCGCCCGAATATTGTTTTGATAGGCTATCGAATCGTAGGTGAAAACGACCTCGTAAAACGATTGTCACTTTCGTCTGTTCACACACTAGGCCTAGGGAATCCCCAGGTATAATGGCAGGGACGTATCCAGGGGGAAGCCGTGGGAGCCGTATTTGTGTCCATAACTTTCGCCACCCCCAGGTCCGAATATCAGATGCTGTATACATATATCCATTATTTTCCAAAACATCATAGACCACCCAAGGACCATCACATTATGTCCCACTCCCAATGTCACTCCATCACATGCTGTATATGTGTCAAATTTTCCCCACCCCAGGTCCGAATATCAGATGCTGTACATTTATGGCAATTATTTTCCCAAATATAATGTGATAGACGGTCAGTCCATCACATGCTGTAAATTTATGTGTCCATAATTTTAAGGTTCTCCCCCACCCGGGACTGTCCATTAGATGCTGTATTTTCCGACCATTATTTTCTCAAACATCATTTGATGAAGCTCTCTTCCCCCTCCCCCTCAACAACTAATGTTTTGATGAATTAATCTCCCCCACCCACCCTCAGGTTCGTTCGTCTGTCTATCACATGCCTCCATCACATGCTGTATATATGTATAGACGGTCAGTCCATCACATGCTGTAAATTTATGTGTCCATAATTTTAAGGTTCTCCCCCACCCGGGACTGTCCATCAGATGCTGTATTTTCTAACCATTATTTTCCAAAACATCATTTGATGAAGCTATGCTGTAAATTTATGTGTCCATAGTTTTATGGTTCTCCCCCACCCGGGAATGTCCATCAGATACTGTATTTTCTGACCATTATTTTCCCAAACATCATTTAATGAACTCCCGTCCCCCCCCCCTCCCGCCAACCATTAGGTTCATCCGTTTTGATTTTCCAATGTTCTGTAGTCTATCAACATTTTTGATCTAGGCCTAACGAAGAATTTTACAATTTTGATATGTTAAGGAGACTGATCTAATACAAAATTAAATCAATCTAATTAAAAACATTGCGGAAATGTCATATACATTAATTATTACTACTGATTAATGTTCATTAATATGGTTAAATTAAAGAATCGTAAATAAATCGAGGTCGGAGTAAAATAAATCCTTAAAAAATTGGACATACACATAGCCTAGATGTGAAACGTGCCACTTTCAACGACGTGGTGTTTTGGATTTTCACTGCATGTCAACATACTATGTAAAGTTATAGCACAAGCCACAAGGAAAATAAAACATTAATAATTTCATGGAGGATTCATGATTCTTACACTACATATTGGATTGAATTGACTTCATTTCATTTAAGGAAAGAGAGAGAGGGGATAGAAAAAAATCTACAAAATGGAACTGGTCGGCATACTTTCCATTTAAGTTAAGTGTTAATATGGGCAAATGTTGGCATTGAGAGGAGCCATGTTGTACGTATCTTGAAGTTTCAGCCATCCCTCTCCCATGTGTTAAACCACCTGTGCTTTTAATCGATCTCATAAAAACCTGTTGATAATCGTGGCTGTGTGTATATATAGCGGTGTTTTTCCATTGGTTCTTGTGTATATATTCTATATATACATACATACATACATAGACATATACCCCCATACATACACACATACATGCATGCATACACACATACATACATACACACACACACACCCACCTACACACACACGTACGCGCATACATACATACAAACATACATACATACATACACACATACACCCATACATACATACGTACTTACGTACGTACATACATATATATGAATTGGGAAAAACCTTCCCTAAACAAACAATTGACGCACCTAAATATCACGCTTTCTATTTAGCTTTTTAAAGTTTTGAATACTCTGTTTTTGTCAGCTGTTAGGATAAGTGTATCATGTAATTTACATACACGGTGAAAGTAGTTATAAGTAACGTAAACCAAACACCTTAGCTTCACACTGATGATGGAAATTGGCATTTCCGAAACATGTCTTGATGTTTTGATTTGCCGAACACAAACCATCATGATGTACAAGCAATGCGAAAACAACTGCTATGGAATGCCATTAAAAAACGACTCAGAAAGCTAAATCAAGATAACCAAAACAAATCAATGGAAATCAAAACAATAACTATCGACAACTGATTACTGTTTTCTGATGAAGACTGTCAACAGGAACGTAAAGGAAGCGATTTCCAAAATGACAAAAGTACATGAAGCAAAACTAAAGAGGCTTACCAAGAACGCTGCATTATCATTCACGGCAGGTGACATGGTTACTAATCTCTCCTCAAGACATCTTTCCAAGGAAGAAGAAGTGTCGAAATTAGGTCTTGCAAACTCGATAATGCCACCTAAAATCAACAAATCTGACAAATATACATGTTTTGAGATGGTTCACCGGTGCATGTTGAACAACCTATCTGATATGAAGTTCGCAGGAAAATTAAAATCGAATCTCTCGCATTTAGCACACCACTATGTAGCTTCTTATCAACTATCCAATAGAGACTTAGGATACTAAAAACCTTTAAAAAAAACCGTCAACTAGTAATCACGAGACCGGATAAGGGAAATGGAGTGGTGGTACTCAACAAAGAAGACTACAATCAAGGACATTTTGGACTCTAACAAATTTTGTCTACTCAAATCTGACCCTACTCTCACTAGAGAGGGAAATTTGCAAAGTTTCATGTCTACTCAAATCTGACCCTACTCTCACTAGAGAGGGAAATTTGCAAAGTTTCATTAGGAAATTAAGAAAGGTAGAAAATTTGATGACAATCAATATAAGCAAATTTATCCAACGGGTTCCCAACCCGCTAGTATGGGCTCCCGAAATTGCACAAATTAAAACATAATAATTCAAAACTCAAATTTTGTCCCATCATTTCGTCCATAGGCACTTATAATTACAATCTTGCTAAGTTCCTTTGTGAAATATTAGATCCTGTTATACCTAAAAATGTTATGGCCACAGATTAATTTAGTTTCGTCAATACTATAAAATCACTTGATACGGCTAACAAGTTTATGGTATCGTTTGATGTAGAGAGCCTACACTAACATCCCTTAACTCGAATCCATTGAGTTAGCGATTGAATACATAACAACTGACATAAATTGAAGTTCACAAAAAAAGAAATTAAAGAATTATTTATTTTTACTACAGCCCAGACACATTTTCTTTTTAACTAAAATGTTTATGATCAAATCGATGGCGTGTCGATGGGCTCACCATTAACTCCAGTCCTAGCTCCAGTCCAGTCCTAGCTCATGGCACATCATGAAAAATCGCCGTTATGTAGACGATATTTTTTGTCTTCTTTCATCTAAACATAATGCTATTTCATTCTTTAATTTCATTAATAGACAGCACCAAAACATCAAGTTTACCATGGAAGGAGAAGAACAGCACCATCTACCTTTCCTTGACATACTCTTGGATAACAGTGGTCAATTTTCCCTGAAAACATCAATTTATCGCAAGAAAATGTTTACTGGCCTTCTCACAAACTTCCATAGTTTCACTTTGGCTGCCTACAAACAAGGATTAATTCGCACACTTATTGATAGAGTCTACAAAATTAACAGCACATGGTTTGGCTTTCACAATGATCTTAGGGATATAAACAAAAAATATGTACCCACAAAACCTTATTAATAAAATTATAAAGAGTTATTTGAACAAATGTGTTAATCCCATCCCCCCGAATTCACCCCCACTGGAAAAAACTGAAACTGTGTATTATTACACATTACCGTTTTTGAGATTGGCCACTGATATCAAACGTAAAAATAAATAACTATAAAAAAATTTTTTGCAAAAATGTAAACATTGTTATGGTTTTCAAATCTTACAAAATTAGTAATCTGTTTAGCATGAAAGACCATGTCTCGTGTAGTTTATAGATTTGTTTGTGCTGGATGTAATTCCGTGTATATTGGCAAAACCTGAACATTTGGTCCGTGACAGGGCCTCTCATATTTTTCAACATTTGCAGAGCTCGGGATCTTGTCGACAACTTTCTGATGAAAGTTGTTTCACTGTTCTAGACTCTGCGAATACACCCTATCAACTGAAACTAAAAGAAGCTTTGTATGTGAATTGGGAAAAACCTTCCCTAAACAAACAATTGGTGCACCTACATATCATGTTTTCTATTTAGCTTTTTAAAGTTTTGAATACTCTGTTTTGTCAGCTGTTAGGATAAGTGTATCATGTAATTTACATACACGGTGAAAGTAGTTATATAAATAACGTAAACCTAACACCTTAGCTTCACTTTGACGATTTCCGAAACATGTCTGTTTAACTGTTTAATACGTAAACAAGGTGGAAGAATTAAACACCATGAGAAGAAAACTTATATTGTTTGTTCTCTTTATTAAATGTCTGGCAATAATAATCTC